TGCCGGTCCGCGGAGACGTTTAGCCCAAGTGCAACGATCACGCAGGCTCGGGTCCCTGTTCGTGCTGCCTTTTAATTACCATTCGTTCAGCATACGTTTATTGAGCACCTACGATGTGTCTAGCACTGTGCCGGGCGCTGGGGACACCAGGACGACCAAGTCAGGCCACCGGTACCACTGAGATCCCTTCCTTTCCTCTCCCCGAGCTCGCCCGGCGTTCCCGGGTACCCGCCCGGCCGTCCCCCTCCGTCTCGCTCCGCTCATCTCCCTCTCCTCTCCCCCTAGGACGAGGTGAAGCTGCCAGCCAAACTGAGCATCAGCAAGTCGCTGAAGGAGTCGGAGGCGCTGCCCGAGAAGGAGGGAGACGAGCTGGGCGAGGGCGCGCGGCCCGAGGAGGACGCGGCGGCGCTGGAGCTGTCGTCCGACGAGGCGGTGGAGGTGGAGGAGGTCATCGAGGAGTCGCGCGCCGAGCGCATCAAGCGCAGCGGCCTGCGGCGCGTGGACGACTTCAAGAAGGCCTTCTCCAAGGAGAAGATGGAGAAGACGCGGGTGCGCACGCGCGAGAACCTGGAGAAGACGCGCCTCAAGACCAAGGAGAACTTGGAGAAGACGCGCCACACGCTGGAGAAGCGCATGAACAAGCTGGGCACGCGCCTGGTGCCCGCCGAGCGGCGCGAGAAGCTCAAGACGTCCCGCGACAAGCTGCGCAAGTCCTTCACCCCCGACCACGTGGTGTACGCGCGCTCCAAGACGGCCGTGTACAAGGTGCCGCCCTTCACCTTCCACGTCAAGAAGATCCGCGAGGGCGAGGTGGAGGTGCTCAGGGCCACCGAGATGGTGGAAGTGGGCGCCGACGACGACGACGAGGAGGCCGGCGCGGGCCGCGGGGAGGCCGGCGACCTGCTGCGCGGGAGCAGCCCCGACGTGCACACGCTGCTGGAGATCACCGAGGAGTCGGACGCCGTGCTGGTGGACCGCAGCGACAGCGACTGAGCGGCCCGCCCGCCCCGCCGCCCCCCTTCTCCCCCTCTCGAACTTTCTCTGTCGCGTTCTCTCTTGGCCCAAGCTGGCTGAGGTTTTTTTTTCTAAGTTGGAAGCACCCCTCTACCCCTTCCGGGGCACCCCGCCAAGTCTCATGGCTTTTAAGGCCCCAGGGGGAGGCAGCCCCTCTCTGAACGAAGTCTGGGTGTCCTGGTTGTCCAAGTCGGGGATATGAGAGGAAATTGCTGTGATTCTGAGGTTGGGCCCCCCTTTTGGGGGGCTGCCCTCTCCTCTCCCCAGCCTCCCCCACCATGCCAGCCGCTGTCATTCCTGCTCTCTGAGCGCTCTCTTTCCTTCTCCTCCTGACCCCTGGGGGCTTCAAAGTCACAATGACCCGGAAGAGGAAAGAGCGAATCCTAAAGGGGACCCTGACCCACATGGACGGCCCCTTACTAGAAAGACATGAAAGCAGCTTTAGGGGAAATTGAGGCAGTGGGGAAGAGAGGGCAGAGTGAGCCTTCTCACCCTGGATGAGGGTCCAGCACAGCACAGGCTCTATCTGTAGAAGGTCCCTAAAGGAAGGCTGGATCCGAGAGGAGCCGTTGGGGGGAGGTGGCTGGACAGGACATAAAAGTCGGGGGAGGGACACACTTCCATGTTATGCATCGGCATGCAGGAGCACGTGGCTGTGGCTTTGGGAAGAAGCATGGGAAACAGAGAGCAGTGCCCTCATTGGCACCATAGAAGCCCACTTTACAGGGGTCTCAGAGGGCAGCAGGACCATTATCAGGATGAAGAGGGAGGACAGTGTGAGAAAGGGATGATTCAGAGGAGGGAGAGGTAAGCCTCAGGGTCCCTCAGCTGGGTTCTGGGTGGCACCCCCAGGGTCAGCCCATTTCTCAAAGTCCAGAAAATGGGGGTCCCAGAAGAGGGCAGCAGCAGGCTGGGAGTTAGGAGGGAGATCAAGGTGCTGGTGGCCCAGCCACCAAGCTGAAAGCTAAAGGGGACATGGGAGGGCAGGGAGCCATCGGCCAGGCGCAGGCCTGGCAGTTTCTTCTCAAGATCCTTCCTGGTATCAGAGGCTGCAGACCTTGCCCAGACTTTGGTGGTTTCCTCGTCCTTGGGGATGCCTTTCCCAAGTCTTTGGGGGTGAGCGGAGGCTTGACTTCTATCCCGACCAGGTTCTCCTCAGGACACCTGAGTCCCCTTGTGCCTACTCATTAAAGGGATTTGTCAGAAGCAGGGACAATCCCAGTCACGGCCTGGAGGGTGGGCTATCCTCCTTCCCCCACCTCCTTATCTTCCTGCCTGCTTTTTAGAATTGCAGCTAATTGTTTTAAGGGGTGGGGGGAGGGAGCCTGGGACACAAACCTTTTATACAATACAAAGCTTTGCTTTTTTTTTTTCTTCCTTTTCTGGTTCCCTTCTGTCCTTGGAATGGTTGAAGACATCCTCCTGAGGGAGGATGGGGATTGTGGGACATGGTCCCTTGGTGCTGATGGGCTGAAGGGGCCTGAGTTGTGGGCTGATGCCATTTTTCACGGGCTCTGGGGAACCTCTCACGCTGCTGTCCTGGTGAGCAGCCCGACCAATAAACCTGCTTTTCTAAAAGGATCTATGTTGGATGGTGTTCTCCAGAGGCAGTTCCCTGGAATGTTACAGAGGACCCGAGGGAACCGGGGAGGGCACGGGGGGGGGGGGGGGGGGTGTTGGTATAAATTTGCTGCACTTGCCTAGTGTGAGGGGCAAGGGGGAAATAACAATAGCCAATTTATTGAGCCCTTACTCTCTGCCAGGGATTGTTCTAAGCACTTTGCTTTACAGTTGCTGATTTAATAACATAACAACCCCATGAGGCAGATTCCATCAGTATCATCCCATTTTATTAATTTTATTTTATTTTTTATTTTATTTTATGTTTTAGTCTGAATCTCACTCTTGCCCAGGCTGGAGTGCCCCGGCACACTCGCGGCCACCGCAGCCTCAACCTGCTGGGTTCAGGTGATCTGCCTCAGCCTTTCTTTCTT